TGGGCCTTGTCCCTGGTCCTCAGTAGGACCAGCCCTGCCCTGGTTTCCTCTTTGCTGGATTTTGGTGCCCATGAGGGGAGATCTTGCATGTAGTTGTCCAGACAGTGTGCTGTGTGAGGGCCATTTCTCCTGATAAGAAGTCCCAGGTTACAGGGGTTCTGGACCCTCTCTGTCCCCTAAGCATCCTACCAAGTAGGTGTTGGCTTCATACCCACTTTGCAGACCTGGGGAGGTGCAGCAGTGGGTGGGGTCACACCGGTGGAGCTGGGCCACTGCCCCACCACGAGGGGCTTCAGTGGATCAAACGAACAAAGCCTGGGAAGGGGGCTGACACCTGAGACTGGCCGTGGCCAGAGACAACCCCCCCCTTACAGCTGCCCTAGCTCTGTGCCAGTCTCAGGTGCACCCGGGGAGGCCCCACCAGATCTGCAGGGACAAGAGACAAGGTCTTTGGGGGCCAAGGGTGCTGGGGGATGGGGTGAACTGCCCTTCAAGGACCTGGTGCCCATTTCCTAGCCAAGAGGCTGCTACTTGCTGCTATCCACTTGCCCCCAAAGGCTGTGTCCTTTCCATAAAGGACCCCCTTGGAGGGGCTGTAGAGTTTTCCTGCCCACTAAGACAGCAGACAGCCTCAGGGGCTCCTTCATTGAGCCTCCTGCTCCTCCCCACCCCCGTGTCAGCATTTAGGCCTCTCCTGCTTCCCTTCCTAAGGCACTGGTCCCAGCCCAATTACTACCCTCTGGGTCCCCCTAAGCCCTGTGGAGATACCCTGTGTGCCTTGCCTTAACTGTAGCAGAAATAGACCACCCTGGGACCCCAGGGCAGAGGCTAGGGCACACAGGCCACCCCAAACTGATAGCATGCTGGGTGACCTGGTCCAGGGCGGCGGCGAGCTCAGGGGGCCTCTGTGGACAAACGCATGTGGGGCCATGGGAGCATCTGGGAGGGCCTGCCTGGTCCCGCAGAGACATGAGAGGCTCCCGGGATCATCAGCCCTCTCTGGGTGGGGTCTAGTGTGAGATGTGGCAGGTCTGGGAGGGATGCATCCCCCCCAGCCCTGGTCTCTTCGCAGGGTCCCTGTCCCTAACACAGCCCCAGAGGCCCCAGGAGAGCCTCACGTGTCTGACTCCTGGGAGCTGGGGGGATGTGGTGGGAGGGGGCAGGCCACCCGCTGGCTCCTGGGCTCCCGTGCCCACGTTCCCTCCTTGGGCCGGGCCCAGCAGCCCAGTGTGCACATGTAGGCACTTGTGGCCGCCGCAGGCCGGGCGTGTCCTAATTAGCCCACTATCTTGGGAGCTCTTATTGGAAGCAAAACAAACCAAAAAAGTCCTGGTTTTACCTGGGTCCCTCCCCACTGCCAAGTGGGTCTCATCTTAGCTTATGGAGGGTGTCCATGTTCTGGGGACCCCAGGCTCCTACGTAGGCATGTCCCAGACCCTGGCCCTGGTTCCCTGTTGCAGCAGCTGTGATGGAGGGGTAGCCAAGCCTCAGGCAAAGTCCCACAACCTTGGGCAGGGAAGGAAATGGGCGGAGTCCTTAAACCAGGGAGGAGGGAAGGATGAGCCCTTTGAGGCTGCAGGAGGAGGCCAGTCGTATAAAAAGCAGCCCAAGCTTCCTAATCAATGGGGTTCCCAGCTGGCTCAAACTGCAGCCACAGACTCTGCCATCTTCTGGGGGCAAGATAGGCCCCGTGCCCACAGACTGGGTGAGCATATGGAGGGAGGTGTCCCCTGGAAGCGGGAAGGAACAGCATCCCCCAAGTGTGAGGACAGCCTCACCCTGCCTGGCCCAGCCCCGTGCCCATGCCCCTGACCGGAGGCAGCTCCACTGAGGGGGACTTTGGAGAGGGCTGCAGCGGTTGCCCTGCCCGGGCTGCCCCACGTCAGGGTCCCCGCGCAGGCCCTGCTTTGCCGCTGCTGGGTGCAGAGATCCTATCAGCTCTCTCTTCTTGGCTCAGTGACTAATTCCTTGGCACCTTCCTCAGATCATTAAAGAATGTGGACAAGTTAAAATATGAAGCATGTTGTCGTGGGGCTGCATCCTGCCCCTCCTGAGCAGGCACCCTCACCCTCATTCCCGCACAAGAGGCCGTGCTGGGCAGCCCTGGAATCTTGGGCTGGGCTGTCCTTGATTGGGCTGGGGTCAGCGGGTCAGGAACAGATGCTCAAGCCCTGCAGCCCTCAGGCCAGCCCAGCGACAGGATAGACCCTTTCTCCAGGGCCGGCTAGTCATGGGGCAGAGACAGAAAACAGGGGGACTCAGGACTCAGGTGGGCCGTCTGGTTCTGGTACTGGGGGTGGGAGGGGCCTGCTCACTCTCCATCCTCACTGCTGAGCAGCTGCGACGGGGGGAGCCATCCTGCATTATTCATTCGCTCACTCATTCGTACCGCTGGTTCACTCGCCCAACAAACCTTTTGGGCAGTGGCTCTGCTAAGACCCTGACCCAGCGTCTGCAGCACAAGATACAAGCATTATCCCACGTCGTCTAGTAGGCACATTCAAAAAGGTGAAAGGGGCTCAGTGCCTGTGGCTCAACTGGCTAAGGCGCCAGCCACATACACCCAAGGTAGCGGGTTCGATTCCAGCCCGGGCCTGCCAAACAACAATGATGGCTGCAACCAAAAAATAGCCGGGCATTGTGGCGGGTGCCTGTGGTCCCAGCTACTTGGGAGGCGGAGGCAGGAAACTCACTTGAGCCCAGGAGTTGGAGGTTGTTGTAAGCTGTGATGCCATAGCACTCTACCCAGGGGGACAGCTTGAGGCTCTGTCTCAAAAAAAAAAAAGCAAAAAGGTGAAAGGAAACCGGTGGAAGTCATCTAATAATTTGCCTTATTTGCCCCAGTTGTGACTGTTTGGGTGCGCAGTTAACACAAAATTGCGAACAAGGAGTTTTGTTTTGTGGCCTGGCCCCTTGGGATCTCAGTGTGCTCACAGCCCTGGCAGGTACCCACTATCACTGGCCGAGTTTTATATGCTCCCTACTCACGTGGCCAGTGGCACCAAATTGTGGTTCCTCCCAGGGCTCGCAGTCAGGCAGGGCCACAGAAACCCTCCCGGAGCACAGACATGGAGGTGCTTAGACTAGTGGCACGAGAGGGAACTTGGGGTCTGGGGGCTGCTCTAGCCAGTGTGGCCATGGGCAGATGCTCCCCAGGTTAACAGCCCGAGGTCTGCCCGGTGGCTCCTTCCAACGGCAGCTCAGGCCAAGGTGTGTGGGTCAGGATGGAAAGCCACTCTGGGTGGCAGTTGGTTGTCCCCGGCCTGGAGTACCCAAGGAAAGTGCTCATCTGGCCTTTGGAGGCCCTGGAACAGTGACCATGGCATGGGTCAGAGACAGCCATCAGCTCCCTGTCCCCTCCTTGCCTGTCAACATTACCCAGGGAAGAGGCCTCCATGCTGGGCAGCCTCCGGAAGGGGACTCTCCCTCCTGACTCTCCTGGCATCTGTTTCTTATCAGAGGTACCACCCGGCCATGGGATTTGGACATCCAGGCCAACCCCAGGGCTGGGAGGAGGCCTGGTAGGGGGCCTCGGATGTTAGGGGGACATGTGTTTTGGGGCACACGAACAGGAGGGACTATGGGTTATGTAACCCAATCCTCCTTTGATGGGAAAGACTGAGAGGCAGAGAGGCTGAGCTGGGTGCAGTGGCCCAGCTGGGAGCAAGTCTGCCTGGAACACAGCTGCCCCTGCACTGCACTGGTCAGGAGTGGGCCTGAGACACAGAGGGCTGCGCCCTCCTGCTTTTCAGTGTGCAGGCGGCAGGCTGGTGCGGGCAGATGGGGGTGCACACAGGGCCTGGGGAAACGGCTCCCAGGGTGCCCCTCCCCACCGCCATCCCAGCATACCGGCTCTCTCCCTGCCCCACTGGCCCCTGGCCTCTGTGTCATCTGCTGGGGTTGCGCTGTCACTTGGGGCAAGTCACTTCTTTCATTCTGTGCCTCAGTTTTCTCATCTGTCAAATGAGGACAATAGCAGCACCCTCCTCTGGGCTGCCGAGGGGACTGGGTGAGTTTGTGCACAGACCTGGCTCCGCACAGGGAAGGGTGTGTCAGCCTCTGCCACCAGCGGTCCTCCAGCCATTCTCCGTACCCGCCTCTGCCAGGAGGGGAAGGAAAAGAAGGGCGTCTTCCTCGCTGGCCCTCCAGGCGAGGTCTGCTCTGCCCTGGATCTGTTCAGGCCAGCACCCCTCCTCATCTGGGGGAGGCTGATCCATTTGGAGTCCTGGGACCCCACAAAGGAGGAACCAGGGACGTAACCACTTGAGTTACTATCCTCCAGGTGTGTGGTCCTGGAGAGCAACTCTGCCAGCCAGCAGGCTGTGGGGGCCAGCTTCAGACCCTGCCTGGGGCTCCACTGACCCCTGAGTGGGGAGGGGCCATGCTAATAGGAACAAGGCCATTCTCAAAGGGATGAGGCTGTCCAAACGGGTATGAGGCCACCCAAATGGGGAATCTGGCCCAGCCAATGACCTGCAGCCCCCAGCCCAGTCCCACTACCTGGATGGCTGGACTGAGGGGTCAGATCTGGTCTCCAGGACCTTGGGGGTACCCATGCAGGGCTCCTGGGGGTGCCCCCCTGTAGGCTGGGGCCAGTCCTCCTTGGCTTCATGGGGCAGGGAGGTGACTCTGTCAAAACCCTGCTACTGCCCCTGGAGTGTGCTGCGAAGTCCTGGCGGCGGGGGGGGGGGTGTTGGGAGCCCCCCCCACCGGACAGCTCCCCTCCCAGAGTGCAAAGGCTGGATTCCACCTTGTCAGTGCTGGGTGGATCCCCAGAAGCCCTGGCACCGGGTCTGTGCAGAGGGGAAGGCAAGGTGAATATGTCAGTTTATCCCAACACAAGTAGTGGCCTGTTAGGGATGGGGGGGGCGCCGGGGAAATATTTGGGATGACTGGAGCTGCTGGCCCTTTAAGGCTCCTGTAACAGGACACCTCCCAGAACGGGACAGGACGGACTGACTGTGTGTGCTTTCCCCTCCCTCCTCCCCCTTCTGAGCCAGGCCCAGTTCAATCTGCTCAGCAGCACCATGGACCAGATGAGCAGCCGCGCAGCCCCGGCCAGCCCCTACACCCCAGAGCACGCCGCCCCCGTGCCCACCCACTCGCCCTACGCCCAGCCCAGCTCCACCTTCGACACCATGTCCCCGGCGCCTGTCATCCCCTCCAACACTGACTACCCCGGCCCCCACCACTTCGAGGTCACTTTCCAGCAGTCGAGCACAGCCAAGTCAGCCACCTGGACGGTGAGTTGCCCTGGCTTCCAGGGACTTTGGGCTGGCACTTTGGGAGGACCGAGCGCACCCTGCTGTCCGCACAGGGTTCCCACTGGCTGGCCTGGCCAGGAGGAGCATCAGGCTGGAGGCGGGTCTCCACTTTTCAGACTCGTGGTCAGAGCTGGCTAATCTCCCAAAGGCCCCCAGAGGGGACAGACTTGGCCTCACCCTGCTGGTGAGGTCCCTGGGGCAGGGGCAGACTCTCTGGCCAGCTTCCCAGCATGCAGGTGGGGGCTCTGTTTTGCATTCTGCCCTGGGCTGGGGCACAGGACTTCTGCCGAGAGTCACCTGAGGCTAGAAATTGCCTGCTCCAAGCTGGGAGAATCTGCAGGTGGGTAGATTTGGATCTTGCTCTGGGGTCTGTCTTGAGGTGTCATCCCAAGCAACAGTGCAAGGCAGGGAAGTCGGTGTGGAACCAGAAGGCTGAGGACACAGGTCCTTACTGTGTGTGGTGCCCTGGAGGACTGTTTGGCCCAAGGTGGGGATGTTGCCAACTTTGACAAGATCACACGTGCACACAGCCACTCCCCTCACTGTGCTGAGGGCTTTGTTTTAGCTGACTCTTAAAAGCACCTGACAGCCCTGACATAGAGTTGAATCTGTCATTGTCTCATTTCACAGCCAAGGATGCTGAGGCTCAGGGAGTGAGAGTAGCTTGTGCAGAGGTACACCCATCGTAAGTGGGCGTGCAGAGTGGGGCCCAGCACTGGGCCTTGGCGTCAGTGCCCCTGACCATGGGGCTGCACAACTTGTGTACCCGCTGGCAAAAGAGGGGGTGGCTGGAAGGGGCAGGGTAAGGGATTCAGGGACCCTAGTCAGAAGTGCAGGCACACTGGATGTTGGGGGGCAGCCCCAGGGCCATCCTGGTCTTTCACACCGAGGAGAGGAAGTTGGACAGTGGGCTCACCCACTCGCCCACCGTGCTCTGTGAAGCTCAGGGGAGGGTCCAGAAGTCACTGCAGGGTGGCTGCGTTCCCGCCCCCTCAATGCAGAACAGGTGGCCGCCCCCAGCTCTTCCACTTTAAGAACTGGGTCCCACGATCCCCACAGCTCTGCTGGCCAGTAGCTGCAGTTTTCCCATGCTCAGAAGGGCCGCAAGGTGGGCAGAGTCTGAGGTCAGGCTCAGCGAGTGGCCGGAATCAGTCCTGCACAGCTGGTCTGGGGTCTGGGATCCAGACCACAGCCCCCCTGGTTGTCTCTGATTCTTGCTGAGGCCATGGGCCTCCCCAGGCTGGACTCTGGGGGCTCTAGGGGGCAGAGAAGGGCAGGACAACCAGGGCGCCTCCTCCAGGGCTCCCTCCCCTGCCCAGTCCAGCGAGCATTACAGACCCCAACCTAGTGTCAGTAAATTATTACTGTGTGGTGGTGACAGGAGCAGAAGATCATGTCTGCTCAGTGTCCAGAACAGAGCTCAGCCGCAGAACCGCAGTGTGCTGTCTCCTTACTGTGTCTTGGGGTGCTGATGGAGGCACCTTCCTCCTCACCCTGCCTGTGGGGGAGGGGACCAGCACCATCTGTCCACCTGCTCTGAGGCCCAGCTGGGGGGTCTGAAGTCAGGTCAGAGGCCCTGGGCGTCCCCACACTGCACACTCTGGTGACTGGAGCCTCCCACCACTCCCCTTCCAAGTTCAGACTTGTTCCCTAAGTCCTCTCTCTCCCTTCCCACACTGGCATCAGGATGGTGGGGGGAGCAGTACCCCCCAGCATCCTGGTGGGCAACAGTCAGAGCTCAATCTCCCTTCCTCTGGCTGTCTGAGGACGGTGGCAGCCCCCACAGAGTATCTTGGATGGTCTGCACTGGTCCTCACGGAGGGATGGGACCTGTCCTTCTGTGCTCGCTGCCTCCCCCATCCAGGGGTCTCCCCCACCCCAGGTGTATGGCATCGGGTTTCAAGGGACACATGTTTTTGTCTCAAGTGCCCTGCTCTGAGTAGCCCCATGCAGTGGTCTGCTCACTTGGATGGATGGAGGGGGCAGATCTGGAGGACTAACCACAGAGGGACAGGGAAGGCTCCTGGGAGCCTCCTGGCTCCGAAGCTCTGAGCCCCACCTGCTGCCCAAGCAGAGTGGCGATGCCTGTGTCCTGCCAGATGCAGCTCCAGCCCTGCCGCCCTGCAGGTGCTCTTCAGAACAAGCTTGGAGGATGCTGCTGCCTCCTTCACCCTTCTTCCCCCCATGCCCTGCTGCCCCCCATTGATAGAGGGGGGCAGGGTGGGACAAACATTGGTAATGAGATTTTGGCACCTCAGCTCTTTGGGAGCAAACCCCCCAATGCTCTGTTCTTGTCCAGGGAGGTGGCGGGCAGTGGCTCACAGCACAAGTTGGCTGCCAGGCAGCCACCTGCTCTCAACTCTCCGGGGTCCCACTGTGAGTGTGCTTGCCCAGACTTGTTGCCTGGGTCTGTGTTAGGGTCCCAGCGCCAGACCGCATTTGGCCCCCACCATACAAGCTGCTGGTAACTGATAGATAATTCATATTTTTCTCAAGTACAATTCCACACTGATGGCTGTCTGCCTCCCTCTCCCCCTCAGGACACCTGCAGCAGCTCCCAGTGACCACAGCTGTTAATGGAGTCTTTGGCCTCTGATTTGCAGAGGCCTGCTGTGGGTCTCCCCACCCCCGGAGCCCATCTGCCCTGACCTCTGGTCTCCTTGGGTCCCAAGGAAGCTGGTATGCACACATGTGTGCACGCAGAAACACACACACGAGCGCCCTCCCACCATGTGTGCAGTGCACAGACACACAGGTGCCCGTGCACCTCTGCAGGCCTCCCCTGGCTGCTGCCAGGTTCTGACACCCTCCATCCTCCCCAGAAAGCCAGGAGGATGGGATGCCACCGTCACAGGAGACTGGGCAGCCAGCAAAGGGATCTGTGTTTGGCCACGAGACAGTACCCAGTGATAGGGTAGGGCTGGTGTTTGGCGGGTGGGACACTGCATAGCAGGGACGTGGCCTGTGGCCATGATAGGGACAAATGAGCTGCTTGTGGGACTTCCTAGAGCAGGGCCTGGACCTGGGAAGCTGGAGGTTTGTGGGTGGTGTCCCGGCTGAGGCTTGGCCCATCACTGGCCTATTGAGGACTTGGGGAGAGACAGATACAGGGTGGGGGAAGGATTGTAGGTGTGAGGGAGGGGACTGTTGCTTGTTGGCCAGGTGACTGGTGGAACTGGGCAGGGATGGTACCTTTATCCCAGCTTCACATCCTGTCCTGGGAGCCCTCATAGTGGGTGGACAGTGGAATGGACAGCCAGTCCCGAGAGGATGAGCAGGAGCGATTTCCTTTCCCCCAGAGAACAGCTCAGTGTGACAGTGTGGACACCGTGTGGCCCCGGCTTGGCCTCCTCTTGCCCCCAGCTCACTTGGCCCCACCAGGGAAGGGGGTTGGCCTCAGTGCTTGGGAAGTTTCAGAACAGGACTCTGAAGCCAGACAGGAAGGCTTATGTATGGCAGGAAACCCTGGTCCACCATGACATCTGTGGGTGCCTCAGGGCAGGTGAGTGACACCACCCACAGCCCATGAGATGGGTGCAATGGGGAGGACATGCACAATGGGTGCGGCAATCAGCGGGCCCCCCTGGGAGTCCTCCAGCCAGATGGCCTGGACACTGCCCACTGAGTGACCTCCAGATGACCTCAGACTGAGTGTGCATGTGTGTGTGTGTGTGTCTATCCTGGGGAGAGCTGGCTGCCCGAGGTGCAAGAGAACCCCTCACTGCCCTTGGAAAGGACATGGGGATGGCAGGGCAGGACAAAGGCTCTACTCGGGATTCCTGGGGAGAGCGAGGCTGAGTCAACACTAATGGATTCAGAAGGAAACTTTCCAGCCCCTCAGAGGTTTGCAAGCAGGAGAATAATAGCGGAGGTGTCCCAACATGATCGTGGTATCAATTGCGTTATCCTAAAAGTTTATGGAATGCATAAGTGGAATTAATACCTTTTACTGGCACCAGAAGCAATTATATGTGTTTAAAGCTGAGGGAAGAGTTCTAACAATGTTTATTGTGGAGATGAAACGTGGATTATTAGGGGAAACAAGATCACTTAGGGAAAAATTGCAGCAATTGGTTGGATCATGCGTGGCACAGCTGGCAGCAGGAGGGAGCTTTGGCAGGCTGCGACTGGAGGGTCAGCACCCAGGACTTGTGCCTGCAGGGTGGGGGAGGTGTCAGCTCTCCTCTCTCCATCCATCTGAGGAGCTGGAGGAATCCCCAGCCCTGCAGGTCCCTGAACTTGGCCTTCGAGGTCCTGTGTGAGGCCAGGAGGGGCAGCTCCGTGCCCTTGGGTCCTGGCTGCAGCCCAGATGTGCAGACGGGTCCTGGGAGCTGAGAGGTGTGGTACAGGCTGCCCTGCACACCCACTGCCTGGTTCTTGTGGGGGGACACAAGGGAGAACCCTCCCGCGAGATGGAATTCTACTCGTAATTCTACTCGTAATGTAATTCTACATTACGTTTGGGACTGCAGAGAGACAGGCTCCAATTTGTGCTTTCTGATGAGCATCTATTTTCTAGCACTTGTTTCCAAACTTGTGATTAGTGTGCTGGTGGTAACGTAACGTGCAGAGCCCTGTGCTGGGCCCTGCAGCTGGGCGGCAGGCCCTGCTGCTCTGCCCATTCTACGGATGAGAAGACCGGAGCTCCCAGAGGGCAGTCAGGGTCCCCGTTAGAAGGGACATTGGCCTTACAGCCTGACTAGGGTGTCAGCACAGCCCACAGCCTCTCTGGGCACACCCCAAGTTTAGCTCCTGCCTGTCCACTGTGCCTTGCTTCATGGGGTGGGCCCCAGGGGCCCTTGAGGACCCAGGTGAGCTGATGGTCAGGAGACATTGACCACCAGAGTAGCACCTTCCTGTGGCTGGGGAGAAGCCTCAGGTAGGCCCAGTCTCTCATCACTCTTCTGACCATGCGTGAAATTGCAACCAGGTGGTGGAGAGTCTGCCCATCTATCTGCTTTCACTGCTTGTTTTTTTTT